AAAAGGTGGTTCTGAGCATCTAGAGATCTGATTAAGGATTAAAGTGGACGCTGAAACTGAGTGGAAGGATTGCCAGCTAAGTGATACTTCTGACAAAATCTTATTTGTGCAAAGTTTCCTACTGATGCCAGTTTTACCATTTTTCTTTGGCAGAGATGACCATATTGCAGCTTTGCTGACAGTGAGAGGTGATGCCAGCAGAGATATGAAGCAGACTATCATTGAGACTTTGGATCAAGGTCCAAGCCAACCGAATCCAAACTATGTGCCAATTTTTAAGGAAATTACAGTTCCTACTCTAACTGTGCCAAAACTTCTGAAGTAACTGACCACTCTGTGTTCGTGTGCCATTACTGGTCTGGGATCAACAGGTCTGAAATATTTGAGGGCAAATTTGGCAATGCTGTTTCAAGTTAAAGTTCAATATATGCTGATACTTGCTAGGCATGTTTCTTTCTAAAGGCTTGGATGTGGGAAAATGTAATTGGATTTCTGAATGAAGATGGATGTAAAGGTCGTGCTTGAAGAATGAAGCTTCTAGTGGCTGGGGGGCGCTTTTTACTGACCCATTTGTTACAGCCATTTTTGCTGTCAGCAAATACATTTTTCTTGTGGAATATGTTTGCACGGTGCACTGCAATGCCGTATAAAGATATTGATACCCAAAACAACAGAGCTGTGTTAGTGCTGGACATACTAGCATACATCACTTACAGTACCTAAGCAGACTCCTTTAGAACTGTCTCTATATGGCACTGCACTGAGCGTATATTAACATCCTCAATCCACTTTAACATTATACTTTGTGTTTGTACTTACTTTGGTGTAAAATAGTTTATTGCAGAAAACTTAATTATGAAATCGGTTTCCTGACTAAGGGACGGAATGAAATTGCTACTGTGCAATTTGATTATAGGGTGAATAAAGAAAGACACGAGGTACAAATTTTTTGTTGTTGAATTACTAAAACCAGCACATAAAAGCACCACCTATTCAATAAAATGTTAAACCATTGCTACCTGAAGCTATGTATTCTTTGCATCCTTATAGATCTACAGTAGATTTAAATCTTTGTTTTTCCCTTTGGTTTGAAGTGTGAATAAACTCTGGATTTAATAGTTTTCTGGAACTGTGAGATACTGGATTTTATTTCCACGGTATTTTCAGGTCGATGCTTAAAGCTAATCTTCGGTATTATCTGTTCTAATTCTAAAATGTTACTAGGAAACTGAATTTAACGCATTCATTGTAACCATCACAGTATTTCATCCATTAGTACCTCAACGGAGTTGTCGGAGAGAAGCACAAGGAAGGACAGGCCTGCTGTTGTAATTCAGAGGTGCTGGCGGTTGTTGGGCCTGTGACCCCCCGGACCACGGCTCTCGCTGACCCCGCCATCTGTTCTAATTCTAAAATGTTACTAGGAAACTGAATTTAACGCATTCATTGTAACCATCACAGTATTTCATCCATTAGTACCTCAACGGAGTTGTCGGAGAGAAGCACAAGGAAGGACAGGCCTGCTGTTGTAATTCAGAGGTGCTGGCGGTTGTTGGGCCTGTGACCCCCCGGACCACGGCTCTCGCTGACCCCGCCTTACCCCCGCAGAGAGACAGGCAGGGCCAGCGGCGCGGGTAAACCGAGGACTGTGGCTTCGGCCACGGAGG